GCTACAGCGAAGTTCAAAATAGTTTCATGACATACTTAGCGTGGCATGCGCATGGTTGATTGGTTTGACCGTTTATGTTTTGGAATAGTTAAACTAGTTGGATAGTATATAGTGGCATTTATATCTAAGAATATCTATAATCAAATATATACAATTACAATATATATATAAATAGGAACATTCATTTATTCATTGAACAAAGGTTGTTAAGGTGGCCCGCGTCAAAGGTCGGTTCACATCACCATTTGTAGAGATTTGTAGTGGGTTATCTAAGTGGTGGTATGCCCCATTTTCTGGAAAATTTGTCATATATAGCCACCCCCAAAAACGATGCAACTAAGCTCAAGTTTGCATGTATGTTGTTTGCATTTTACTTTTCTGGGAGCTGCCACAACCCCTTTCATGGTTGATTTTTGATGAGACGTGATCCGGAGAGAGGTCTGCAGAGTTGGTTTCGACCAGCGAAACCCGAAACCCGAAACCCGAAACCGACTCTGAAGACTTAACTTCCCCAGGACCGACCGAAACCCGAAACCCGAAACCCGAAACCCGAAACCGACTCTGAAGACTTAACTTCCCCAGGACCGATCTTATCTAATCTAGAGCTAACCTAATCTAATCTAATCTAATCTACTCTGTCTATCCAATCTATCTAATCTAATCTAATCTGATCTAATCTATCTAATCTAATCATATCTAATCTATCTAATCTAATCTAACCTAATCTATTCTATCTAATCTAATCTAGTCTATCTAATCTAATCCAATCTACCTAATCTAATCTAATCTAATCTACCTAAATGTTAAATTCAAGGTAAGTGAATCCAAATTCAAGTCAAGTGGTCCTGGGATTACATCCATCATCACTATCTTAATCAATCAGCATCATCAGCATCATCATCATCATCATCATCAGGTGACCCAACTCCCAAATAATAATAATCATCATCATGATAATCATCATCACCACCGCCACCACCATCATCATCATCATCATCATTTTTCACCCCTGACCACGGTGGCCAACCACCGCCGCTGCCACTGCCGCGGCTGCTGCAGCTTCACAGCGAGCCTGGCGAAGGACAGACTGGTTATTGGAAAAAAACTAAAGATCAATTGGTTACTGGGAAGAATTGACAAAGGGGGCAAAAGCTCAGCTGCTGTAACTTTTCCAAGCGGTTTTGAAGAAGCTGTTACCCCCAGCTCCATCCAACGTCGGGATTGGTCATGAGATCTTACTATAGGAATCACCTCAGAAGTTCTTCTAAGGGATCACACGTATACCATCACCTTAGAATTTCATCTAAGGCAGCAGAAGGCTACAGGGGATGGCAGCGAACCCTTTGTCCTTGCCACTCATTAAGACCCCCCTCAGCGCTGAAGACATCCACATCTCAGTCCCCTTCTTGTGCTTCTCACCCTTGGTCATCATCACTGTGTCGCCGGAAGAGCCATTGCTGATGCCCTCATTCTCTTTCTGGGTGAGCATGTCCACATAGGCCTTTATGAAGGCGCCCTTGGTGATCCTCAAGTCATTGGTGTCAGGAACCAGGTGCTCCATGTTGTCGAGGACCAAGGCCTCAGAGATTTCCTTTGGCAACTTCTTGGGCTGGCGGGTGCTGGTTCTGCGGGTAACCGCTGGCTCCTTCTGGATCTTCTTCTGGGTCTTCTTCTGGATCTCCTCCTTGTGGTCCTTCTTGGGGGAGGCCGTTTTTTTGTCTGCAGGTACTCGCAAAACACCCTTGCTCAGCCACTTTTCATGCCATCGGTCACATGCCCTGCGGTGAACCGCTTTTTTCTCCTCCGGCGTTTGTTTCTTGCGAGGCTGACGTTTGGGAGCGGGATGGACAACAGGACCCCCGGCACGAACACACTCACCATTCTCAGTCTTGCCATTGTCACCCTCGTCCTTGGCAACCTGGCTGGTGCCCCCCTCACTGTTGGTCTCCTTGTCACCGTTGGTCTCGTTGTCACTGTTGGTCTCCTTGTCGCCGTTGGTCTCCTTGTCACCATTGGTCTCCTTGTCACCGTTGGTCTCCTCATCCTTGGCAACCTGGCTGTTGCCACCCTCACCGTTGGTCTCCTCCTTCTTGTCAGCGTGATCGTCACTGTCCATCTTCTCCATGTCCTCATCTTCAATCGTCTGTGCTCCTGCCTCCATGTCCACATCATCATCATCGAAGAGCTTGCGGGGGTGGGGATCACCAGGAGTATGGCAATCTCCAGTCATGGTGCTGGTCTGCTTCTTCTCCTGCTTTTTCTTCTCAAGGCTGTGAGCGAGGTCCGGGGCCAGGGAAGTCTCTTCGTTGGTCATCAAGTGGTTGATCATGGCTGTGGATGGTGTGGTCCTTTCAGACTGACTGTCGGGCAAGGTGGAAGCCAACTCTGGCTCAGGTACGTCAGGCTCCAAAAAGTCTCTATCCAACTCGAAGCCCCCTGGAAGCATCAAAGTCTCTTGAGAATCTGGAAGGTCTGTCTGACCAAAGTCCGGCGGGAGGTCAGGGAAAAGGGCGCGGCATGTCGCATTGGGGGCTGCCTTGCTTTTCGCAGCACGTGGGGCCACGGCATCAAACGAGGAGGAATGAAGGGCTTGTAGGCGTCGAAGTTCCTTCCTCCAGGAGTCAGGGAGAACTCAGTCAGAAGTCATATGATATCATATTGTGTGGGTATCGTATCAATATCGTATCTATATCCATCAAATACAGTATGCAGCTTCTTAGCGCATGTTGTTAATACATACGTTATACTACCATAGCTTGTACATAGGTGGCATGATCAAACCGTGGGTACATTGTCCACACTGAGGGGTAGTTTCCAACCCATGAATAGGGACCCCATGTATCAGGTTTTGACCACATATTTTTTTGATTAAACATTCAAAAAGCACCACATTACATTATGGTTGTCACAAAGGTCATATGAGTCATATGATATAAAATAGAGATATTGTTTTTGTTGGATTTTGTTGGCATTACATAAACTGTTAGATGTGGAATAATATTGGATCAACTAAATTTAATCACATGATATAGCGATGTATAGTGAGTATTTAGTGCAGTGCCGCTCATACTTACGTTAGTTCTTGGTTGTAAGGGTCATCGAGCCATCCCAATGTTATTAGTTGTTAATTATTGTTTGTTTGTGGGCCTGGTCCCAAACCCCTTTCACAAATCCCAGTCCTGCAGGGCGTCGTTGGTTCAACAGGTTGAGCCATCTTAGGCCTTCTACCCTCCACACTTGGGTTCCACGCATTTTCATCTAGTAGGTGAAAGGCCGGAGTGTTGGCCTCAATCATATGAAATTTCAGGCCTGACGAGGTATCAGGCGTAGGCTCACTGAAATCAACGTCTTGGGAATCCACATCAATCAGCTCATGCTGATCCATGGCCGATAAAGCCAAAGAAACCAAAAAGGGGCACAATGGCGGAATGTCAATGGCTGCAGGCTAAAGGCTAGTAAGTTGTGATAAAACATCGATCTTTTTGTCAATGCCTCGATATACCTTCAACCTTTTGTTTCAACATCTTTGGCAACCTCCATCAGCTTGATAGACAGATGATTCTCATCCACTTTGGTCCCAGGAGTGCGGAGCATAAGGCGCTGGGCCATCGAGACTTCACTCAGGACTCCGCCTTGGGAGGGATGACTGCAGGTTTGGAGATTCCCGCAGGAAACATTCCCTAGCCACCATGGTCCACATAAGTGAACTTGAGGGGAGTGTCTATGACCCATTTGGCCACCAACCAAAGAAGCGTTAAGCAACAAAGTTTTGGTTCAAAGTTCGAACATTTATATTATCGAATAGAGTGCTGGGCACTTGGGTTACATGTTCAGCTGGTTCCAAGTGGGTCTGCAGACAATCCCCGGAACCCCATTTCTGTGCAAGCAGCTTGACATATATTATATAGCAAAGTTGAACTTCCCCCAAGCTACCAGATGTGGTGGGTATTGATTTGACTTGTCACCTAAAAGTTGGTAAACAATATGCTGCTCACAACACCCGCTGGCATTGCCCTGATTCCAACACCAGCTTCTTCACGAGAAAAAGGATGGGCTTAGCGGCCCCAACTACCTTTTCGGCTTTGTACACACGCAACCTCCACACCTCAGGGAAAAATGGATGTCCAAACTGAAGTGTGAAATACCATTGGGCTATTTAGGATATTGAGGTTCCAGGCAAAGCAACCATGCTGTTGACACATTGAAACATGTTATGTTTCTGTTTTTCAAAACCCCTGTCCTTGCACATCGCTTCCGATGCCTCAATCTGGGAAGCAGAGAAATAGCTCCCAACGTTCTTGGCCTTGACGTTTCTGAGCTGAACATTGGCTGCTTTCCACAGCATTGTGGTGCCCTCCTTGACAGACAGCTCGAACCTTGGAAGGTAAAAACCACAACCCTTTGGTTGGAAAAACCAGGAAAGAAAATTGTGGTCAAAATATGTTGTTAACAATAAAGTTTTGGGGAAAAGAAGCTATCGTATAAAAATACTTATGTTGGTGAAGAACCGGTCATGCTCCTCAGATCCCTGGCAAACACTTGCTGGCCTGATGATACTGTGTCCAGCCAGCTCAAAGTCGACAATGCCGGATTGCTCGAGTTGAATCCAACAATCCCGCAGTGTTGCAGGTGGTTGGTCATGTCCGTCAGCATCCTGAAGGCTACTAAACCACTATTGAAAAAGTTCTGATTCTATAGAAACAAAGGGTTTTCAGGTTTGAGCAGGATTGAACAAAATGAGCTCATTGTGTGATGTTCTTGGATTTTTGACATCAACCACTGCCTCCACAACCACTGTCTCCTGATCATCCCGAAGCTCAAAGTTGAAGCCTCGACCCGGGTTCTCCTGAAAAATCTTCCCAGTTTGAAGTGGAAAGGACTCTCCAGATGTGTCACCAAATATTAAAACACAGTTTAGGATGGGGGGCCATATATATATACATATGTTTGTAAATATATTAATTAAAATATATTGTCTGTATAAAAAAATATAACATATATTAAATATAGCGCAGTATAAATTGGAAATCCCAGACAACCCTGTCCTCAGCAAATGCGGTCGCCTTTGTATCAAGGAGCCAGGTTCCCGCTCCAAAAAAGAGTATCCCCTCTTGGTCGTCCAGCTCTGCGTGCGCAGTTCCAACTAAGAACAATTTGGGCCCTTCAACGATGATGCCTGTCACGTTGTTGTTCACGCTGAAACTGTGAGCACCAGGGCCATACTTCGCCTCCAAGTCCTGTTTGCTCTTTGGCTCCCCAGCATAGATATCGTCCCAAGAGGTCGTAGACGGGTCAGGTTGGTCTTCGACTGGTGCGGAGGTTGTAGCCGGTGTGGAAGGCACAGGTGTCTGTGGAGTTTCTGACGCATGGGGTCCCCATTTCCGGTCAAAGTCCTGCAAGGTTTTTCTCCATTCAGTGGCTCGAATCGGATCTGTGATCCATTGGTTCTTGATCTCCTGTGGGATCTGCAGGTGCCCATCAACTACCTTGCAAGCGGAGAAGGTAGGCTGTTCCACCTCAGGCACTTGTTCTGCTGGTCCTGGTTCAGGTTGGAATTTTGGAAGACGTTTCCCGATCTCCCCAGCACCTCTCTTCCACTCCTCCAACAAAAAGTTCATGATGGACTGCAAGGTGTAGTTGTAGCAAATCATCACATCAGTGACAGACATCACCGGAATCTCGAGCTTCAAGCAGGCACGCTCCAAGGTGCCGTCATAGGCCGTTGTGTGCACCACTGTAGCTTTGCTGGTGGCATCCCCTGGGTTGGTAACAAAATAATTCCTTCCCAAAAAGCAGCAACAACTAATCAAACAAATCTCAAACTTTGACCCTTCACCCAAAAATCAAAAAAATCTTCCACACTAATCATACACCAATCATCTCCACAAAGAGGTCAGCAAGGTGGTGAAAAAGGCTTCCCCCGAGACCCACTGCCCTGTTTCTTGCGCGTCCGTCAGGTTCCTCCTCGCGTCATTGCAGGTCAGGTGTGCACGTGCACTTGGGACATGAAACTCCGCCTCACCCATTGCCTTTGGTAAGGAGTCATGAGGGAACCCCTGTAGTCGCCACAATTCGCTTGCACTGTGTGCGCACACTTGGGCTGCTTTCACACCTTCGTCGTGCGCATTCCGGCGGTGGCCGGTGCCTTTCAAAGGCAATGCTGTTTCTGCTACGCATAACCATGCCCTATAGTAGGCAGGTCTGTCAGAATTTCGGTGTAAGCTTGTGAGGTCCATGCCCAGGTTCAAGTCTCGCAGTGCAAGGCCCAGTGAGGTCAGTTTGTCTTCGATCAACCTGCAAGGTGTTCGTTCTTGTAACCCTTGGTTTCAGCCTAATTCCTTCGAAGTATAGAATGGCTTAAGAAAAAACGTTTTGATCATCCCAAACCATGACAAACGATTTTGATGACCATAAATTTTATGATTCTATGATAGTTTTTTTGTGTGCATTATATTTTTTGGACCCCAACCTGTGGTCTTTCCGCAAACTCGATCCTGGGCCACCAGCTGTTCCAAAAAGCAACGGAGCGATGATGACTGCACAGGAACCTTTGCTATCAGATGCAAAGGAGAAGTAAAAACCAAGCTTTCTTTTTTTATCGCAGGCTGGGATAAGACCAAAAAACGCTTTACAGAAAACCTTCAAATGCATTGAAATGCAGGTTAAAGTAGCCCAGGGGATTGCGGCTGACAATCTTGGCGGCAAGGGTGCAGTGCTTGTTCAGCGCTGCTGTGCTAATTGTCCCGACCTTGGTGAAATCCACCAGGACCATAGTCGAAAGAAGCCCATTGACCTTCAGGCAGGGATATGTGGGTGACGGAAATGTCAGGTGAGCCCCTAGCCCATATCATATCCTATCTAAACTAATACTTATCATGACATCATAAAAATAACCACCCCATGTTTTTGGTATAAGATTTCTGGGTTTTATTTCAAGGGAAGTAGATAGTAATGCTAAGATATTCATTTGTGCCCGCTCAAATCGTTTTTGTTGACGGCCCCACCTTCCGTTCCAAACTGGCTTGGCGGAACCATGATTCCAAGTTGGGGACATTCGAGATGTCAGGGATCAGACTCACGGCACACATCTGCTCCATGAACTTCTCGACGATCCTGGGATTCAGAATTGGGCGCGAGCCCAGAACGGGATGAAGCTAACTCTTCAACGTCTAAAGGTTCAGTTTTATTGGGGGAATCAGGGTTTTGGACCTGGGATTTTGAATAGAGGAACAACCTGAGAAATGTTGAAGTAAAAATGTCAAAATATTGCACCAATAATTGCAAGATTCCCATTGCCAATGGTGTTTTGGGCCTTCTTGTGGGTGACCGCCACAATGTGCTCTCGGGCGCTCTTCTTGTGCTGCTGGGCTTTGAAGCGAACCCATGCCACTTCGTCCATCCTAAAAACAAAGTGAAAATGGTTTGATACCGGAGAAAAAGGACCCACTGTAAGAAAAACATATTTCAGAAATGAAACCATATACCAAATCGATGGAAAGAAGCGCTATTTTGCTCATCAACTCTTGGAATTGGGCTTGGCAAGTAGCTTCCTGGAATGTCTCAACTTCCTCTGGGCTGATGTCGGCAACAGCAAGGGCTTGGGGTTCCACCAACTCTGACCACAGACTCAAGTGCTTCACGCTCCAATTGGGGAGAGCACTGTCCAAGCAGCTCATGATCTCGACGAAATAGTCCCTGCCCAAGGTGCTGACAAAAAACATCCTGACATTTATCTGACGCTCTTTTTTTCCCCACCTGCCAGGTAAGGGTTGTTAGATTTTATCAGAGTTGTTCTTCTCCTCCTCCTCCTTCTTCTCCTTCTCCTCCTCCTTCTCCTCCACCACCTCTGCCTTCACTTCCATGTCCACTTCCGCCTTGCCAACTCTTCGCCAAGCTCTTCGCCAACTTCTGCACGCAGTGATGTACTGCTGGACCTCAACTGCAAGGGTCTGAGCGCAATGGGCACCACTGGACCTCAAGCTGGGACCTTCCGAGCTCAGTGAGCACCGCTGGACCTCAACCTGCGACCGTCCGAGCTCAGTGAGCACCGCTGGACCTCAACCTGGGACCCTCCGAGCTCAGTGAGCACCGCTGGACCTCAACCTGGGACCCTCTCCGAGCTCAGTGAGCACCGCTGGACCTCAACGGCCAGATAGAATGCCAGAAGATATGCCGGATAGAACGCCAGATAGCATGTCAGAAAGAATGCCAGAAGATATGCCAGATAAAATGAACACAGTTTCCTTTGAAAGCGGTCCTCGCGGTGAAAGGGGTCCTGGGCGCACCGCGCGCGCGCGCCAAAAATCTCTCCAAATTGAAGCTCTTTTGGCGCGCGCGCGCGGCGCGCCCAGGACCCCATTCACCCCGAGGACCCCTTTCAAGGGAAATCTTGTTAATGCCAGAAGATATGCAATATAGAATGCCAGAAGATACACCAGATAGAATGCCAGAAGGTATGCCAGATTCAGATAGAATGTCAGATAGAATGCCAGAGGGTATGCAAGATAAGGTGCCAGAATGTTTGCTAGATAGAATGCCAGAAGATTTGCCAGATAGAATGCCAGATAGGACGTCACAAGATATGCCAGAAGATATGCCAGAACATATTGCAGAAGATATGCCAGGTAGAATGCCAGAAGATATGCCAGATAGAATGCCAGAAGATATGTCAGATAAAATGCCAGAAGATATGTCAGATAGAATGCCAGAAGATTTGCCAGTAACAAAACGTATGGATGTCATGGTGGGGATAACTCGAAATAAAGTAATTTCTGATTTTTTTTCTGACCAGTAAATGGGGTTCAACAAAAAATGAAAATGCAACCCCAGGCCTGGCCATGAAAGCATCTTGAATCTGATCCATGACAGAGGCCAAAGTCCCTGGGTCAACATGCTGGAGGGTCTGGGCAGCCTGCTTGCGCACACTGCATGATACAGGTGTAATCGACCAACTTGTCCCAGTCGGCCACTGATGGTCTCAGTTTTGGTCGTGCTGAAACCTTCGTCTTCTTGGTTTGGGTACAGAACCAAGAAATATGGTTCCGCAAGAAATGCTCTTGCACCTCCTTGTCCACGGTCAACATCACCTTGGCCGCATCTTTGGCATAGCGAGGCGATGCGCCCAGCAACCACCGCGTGGATCGCAGCAGCTCAGCCGTAAAGCAAGACAGCTGCCACTTGTGAAAGTTGAGGTGGTGCTGGATCAAGCACCTGGCACCTGGGGTTGTCCCAATGATCAGGTTCAAACAGGCTTTGAATCGATCTTCATCAACCCGCCAACGTTGGATCATGCCAGGTTGGCCATTGAACTCGTCTGTGACAAGCCTCAAGCGACTCTCGGTGTTGAGGGAAGCATCGTGTTCTCCATTTTGGCTCTTCTCCAGCAAAACTGCGCTAAATGTCAGTGCCAAAGACAAACAGGAAGGAGGCTGGCGTTCAGAACCTCTGTAGCTCAACTGCAAGTTGAGGTACGACCTGTGTGACGAATCCTTGTTGAAGACAACCTGGGCTTGTTGAACGAAATTGCACGTTCAAACACCATCTAAGAATGTAAAATGTGCAGTATCTACTAATAGCTTTTTTTTCATGATATTCTAAATAATGCCCGGAAACATTCGAAGGCAAGAGGAATGCTCTGTCCAAAAAAGCTTCGAATGGCTTCACCTTGTCATAATCTGTGTCAAGGTCGATTTCTGCAGCAACCATCACCACAAACGCAATGACAGATGCCCTTGCATATCCTTTGATCAAGTCCACAGAACAGTAATCAAGCTCAAACTTGGAACCTTGGAACAGGAGTTTGGTGTGCTTGAAAGGGAAAATACATGGGAATCACCCAAGAAACAAATCATAGAAATATCAATTGTTGAAAATAAAGTGTGTTGAATCTTGACAGGTGCACAGTTCGCAGGACTGTCTGGAAAGGCCACCTTGGGAAAACACAATGGGGATATTATACCGGGATAATATGGGATAATGGTATATAATAATTAATCTGCTGATAGCTTTTGGATCCAATATGAACTGAAATGGAAATTAGATCTTGGTTGCTGGGACCCGGACATTGCAGGACAGAGGTTCCCTACCAAGGTCAATGGACCCGGTCACCATGCTCTCAAAACACGTGAGCCAGTCTCGAATGACAGGCAATCCATCGGTCGGCACCTGGAACCTGGAGCAGGCAGCCGGTAAACCTGTTTTTAGGCAGGCTTATAGTTTGTGGGGAAAATGACACGCTAACCATTGCAGAAAATCATTGATTGCTTGTCATTGTTTTCTTCTGAGTCTGGGCAAGGATTTTGAAGTAAAAACATGTCATGGGGAGCATATATCCCAACTTTCAAAAAATATTTCTCAGGATGTGAAGGGCTGCACAAGAGGTCAAACCCAGATCATTTTGGATCAGCAGTTAGCCCAATTTGGGGATCTTGATGGGTTATAGCCCCAGTCGTAAGCGAAACCGATTTTATAAGGACAACATAATGGTGTGGGTTCAAAGGAATATAATCCCTTTCCAGTCAGGCAAAGGTTGGATGATGGACAATGGCTTCTCAATATTAGTCAAATGATTGTTACTATGGTATTGTCTCCTGCTAATTTGGTAGCGCCAAAATTACATCCCCGTGCCTAAATTCCCCAAAAACTGGTGGATAGATGAGAAAACCAACATTTTCAAGGAGATGCAAATATTTCACAATGGTTTGATATTTGCAACAAATTGGTATTACCCATCACTCTCCTCCCTCTCCCTTCAGCCCGTAGCTTTGCAGGCCACGCACACACACACACACGAAGCCCACAAGCTGGGAAACCAAGGAACCGGAAAGCGCTCAGGGGCATCTTCAAGGTATCGTTTTCCATACTGCGGTCAATCACCTGGGGAATTCGTAGTTAATTGTTGTATTGTAAAGTATAAAGATTATTTTTTGGTAGCATTTTATCATCGAAACATATTGAAACCCAAACAACTGAGCCCATGGCTATGTCAGTAGTCGACTTGAAGATCACGGTCTGGTATCCCCGTTTGTTCTGATATTCACGATACCACATCTCCAACTGTTTCATGCGGAGTTTGTTGTTTTCATCACTCTTCGACCCCAAGAAGAAAGCCACTGGATCCGCCGGGTGAGAGCCAGCTCTTGTCCCAGCTAGAGCTGCAGGGTCCTCCTCAAACTTCCCAATGTGATCCAACATCTCCTTAGGATTGGAATTGGACCCAACTATTTATTGATTATTGTATGTCTAAAACCCACGGCGTGAGCTGTAAATATACGGGATGCAGAATAGTAGGCCCCCCTGCTGGATTTATTGGGAAAGGGTCTGAACATAGGTTCCCCCTAGAAATGATGGCTGCTACAACTTGTAAGAACAATGATACAGTCCGTTTGGATTTGATTTCTACAGGGTCTACAAAACTTAAACATGTTCACTTCTCAGTTGTCGATGATATATATAGTAATGGTTGTGGGAATCTAGCCGTCACAAGTGTGGAATCCTATGCCATCCACTACCATTCAAAGCCACAGAGTCCCTCATGACTGAGGTGTCCCCACTCAACTTCTTCAAGAACTTCTCGCTGGAGGAGCACAGCTTTTTGGCTGCGCTAGGGGAAGTCTTGGTTTCATCTTCTTTAACCACAAGTGGCTTGTCACTCTTTTCTGGGGTCTCAAAACACATGGACCGGGCATGTTCGAGAAACGAATTGCCACCTCTTTCGGGACTCGGACCCATCATAGCGTTTGGGAATTGGAGCTGCTGGCCCACAACAGCTGCAAGAGTCAAGAGAAAAATTCGGTAAACTGATCAACCCTAAAAAGTGCATTGACTTTTATGTTGGCCCTCAACATAATTTTCAATGCACTCCCCCCCGTCCGTTGCATTGAAAACCTTGGTTTTTTGATGAAGAGATTTATTTTTTTTGGTGAGCCCTAAATTGAAATAGATCCCTTCCTCCGTAAAGCAAGGTTTTCAATGCACTCCCCCCCGTCCGGTGCATTGACTTTTATGTTGGGGGTCTGTTCCAAGATCAATGCAATTTTTTTAGGTCCGTGACAGACATTCCAAGATCTCAATTTTCAACGCACTCCCCCCCGTATGTTGCATCGATTTTTCAATTTTCAATGCGCTCCCCCCCGTATGTTGCATCGATTTTTTTTGGCGAACACCCCCTGGTGCATCGATTTTTTTTGCAACCATCCCCTGGTGCATCGATTTTAAAATCCAAACATCCCCCGGTGCATCGATTTTAAAATCCAAACATCCCCCGGTGCATCGATTTTAAAATCCAAACATCCCCAAGTGCATCGATTTTGGGCTATAATCATCCCCAGGTGCATCGATTTTTGGGCTATAATCATCCCCAGGTGCATCGATTTTGGTCTATAATCATCCCCAGGTGCATCGATTTTGGGCTATCATCATCCCCAGGTGCATCGATTTTGGGCTAAAATCATCCCCGGTGCATCGATTTTGGGCTATAATCATCCCCAGGTGCATCGATTTTGGGCTAAAATCATCCCCGGTGCATCGATCTTGGGCTATAATCATCCCCAGGTGCATCGATTTTGGGCTATAATCATTCCCAGGTGCATTGACTGTGGTTTCTAATCAATCCCTAGATTATAAAGACTTCCCCGACGTGCAACCAGGTGGATCGATTTTGGGCTGCAAGCATTCCTAAGTGCACTGACCCTATTCCCTATTTGGACTGGAAAGAACAATGATTTTGGGACCAAAATCTGTGTAAGATATGTTTATGGCAATAAGTATTAGGGTTGGTCTAAACCCTTTGACATCTGGAACAACCTGACAGTATGGCTCACATGGATTACCACTCTTGCCTGGAAGTCACCGTGCACTTCTGTATTTCTGACACCACCTGTGGCAGAGCCGGCTCTATCAGTCATGCTAAAATCTAGACCAGGCCATGAAAGAAATGGTTCCCGAAAAGCGAAAGGCTAATGGTAACTGACTTTTCTTTGGTTTCAAAAAGGGTATGACTTAGGATCTCTCCTGTGATTCCCCTATGGCTTTCTAATAGCTCCAAACAAAGCTTGTCTTCAGTTCCGCAGGCTTGCCCAAAGCCACATCCCTGCCTGCAGTCGAGAAGCAATCTGTGCCTTGGCCAAGTGTGCGCTGACAGCAAGGAGATTGATATTACAATCTTTGTTGCAGGATGGGAAAGGTCAATTTCCATAACAAAAAAATGGTAGTGTTGTTGACTTGTAGCCTTTTTGTGGATGGTATATGTCATGTTGGAACAAATTTGTAGATCCAGGAAGCCATGTGCATGGCACATACAGGAAGCCATATGCATTTTTGTTTGCTTGGTGAATCTTGGGAGATCTTGGGGAATCTTGGGAATCACAAGCCATACTTGTGTTTGTAAATGATCTTCATTTCACAAGAAAGACATGTGATGTTGGCTTCGTTAATTCACCTCCGTTTCATCTTGTGTTTGCGCGCGCTTGTGTACTATTTTCCTCCCCAAAGAGACGCACAAACCCAAGATGAAACAGAGGGGACTGATTTGGTAGAGTTGTAGATTGTAATTTGGCCCATGGATATAGTAAGAAATGAGAAGTGAATTGATTGGCATTGAAAGCTACCCAGGCAACATCAGCCATGAAGGCCGTCGCTCACATGATCCAAAAGACTTTTTCTCCATCGCGCAGCCATGTAATTGCTAATTGGTCCATATGCAGGCTCTTGCATTTAGAGCTAATTACCCTAAACTGAAACCAAATCGTTCATAGCATCAATGAAATCATTGTATGCCTTAGATGCCTTTTCCATTTGGGGCCCAGCTTTGTTTGAGCTCACATGGTCAAACACCCGTGTCAATGCCGTGACCATTTGGCCCTCAACCTTGTGATAGTTCTCGAATGCCTTTGACCTAGGGGACTCATCGATAATCTCCCAAATGTCGTCCTTACTGGAAGAAACCAGAGAGCATTGTTCATTCCAATGGGCCCTGAGCATGGTTTGCAAAAGCCCCCTAGTAGTACTCATGCCGCTGCTTGTAGATAAACCATGTGCTTTCACCTTGTCCTCCAACTCATCTCTGGTCATACCACTCATCTTGTGAGTGCAATCATTGGGGTGGCGTTCACCGCGGACAACTTTGCGAAACATGTACCGAAGCTCTTCTTTACCCTGGGATTGGAGGGTTTTCTCATCACATGTTTGGGACAACGCCTTGATAAGGTCTCCCTTCTTGTTGGGGATGTTGGGCGCTGAGGCTTTGTTCCAAATATAAGGAGGAGGGCAATTTCCATCTCCCCAGCAAAGCGAGCATTTCAAAGGCGAAGGGTCCATCAGCTTGATAAATCACTACTGTACCATGTGGGACTTTGAGCCTCATTTCCTTTTGGAGTTAAACATAGATGAACCATAACATACTAAACATAGTTGACATCATTGTTGTTTTTGGATAGTCCAAACTAAACCCGTTTCGCTAACTATCAGCTGTTTCTGGTGTAACATCATGCCTAACAGAAAATTGCAAAGTACCAATCTCTCAGTAAGTTCAGAGGCGATGGCTTTCTGTGCATGTTTTTCCGTGGACCAGGCTTCAAGTTGGCCCAACAAACTAGTCATGTCGCCTACCGCCAAACTGGGCTCTTAGGGCAACACTTGGCACAAGTGAATTTAAAACTGTTGGGTGCAAATCGTACACTGGAGCACCCACACCTGGTGCGGGTGCTGGCGTTGAAAGCCACGGCAAAGGACCAAATGCCCCTTGGTTGTAAAACTTGTTTGAGGCCAAATCCTTGAGATACTGTATGGCCCGCGAATAATCAGCACCATACGCAGATTCCACAGCACGTGCAACATCCAAGCATTGATTGCGCAACGCAGCATTGTAGGAGTTGGTATGCCTGTCCACTGCGACAATCACTTGAAATTATGTTCTTCCAGTGGTAGGTCAGAAAACATACGAAATTACACCCCATCTAATAACAGACCCCAAAAAAACAATAAATGAAATGTTCAGCTGCTTCTGTGAGGGAACAAGTCCAACCCTCTGAGCGCGGGCTTCTGTGAGGACTAGCAAAGGCCGTTGGGCTAATTGCTCTGACCCCATGTATTGTTTCACCAAGCAAATGCAATCATTAGGAGAAGGAATTGCCCGAATGCTGCCAGCATCAATTCGCGACTGTAGATTCTCTGGAAGGTCTGCCAGGGGCAACCACAAAACAACATAAAACAACTAAATGTGATTTTATTGCCAGTGCATAGCACAAACTTTCACATTATACTATTAAGTTGATGCTTGACACTCTGGAACCTTTTCCCACAACCCCACCTCGCCGCAACATAAAAATGAAACAGTGGTTTGATGTCGCATCCTCCAGTAGGCCCCCTGATAAGTTGACCTGTTGTGGTCCAGTGAAATGGGTTTTCCAAGACCTCGGGCAATCTAGCTTCATCGCGTTCACCTGTGTGTTAAGCCCTACCCATGATCTCATTGCTGGGCGGGCCATCTCAGAGAGCATGGTTTGCATCACGTCCTGTGGTGTTTGTAAATCATCAGCTGCTGATATTCTCCTTGCCAATATTCCCCATAACCTTGTTTTGAAGCAAACTGCGTCCAGCCAAATTCGAACATATAAAAGACTATTGTTATTCATTCTGGAACAAACAAAGCAATAAAAGAAAACTTCATTGTCAACAGCTAGGGGCCCATCAAGTTTGTCGTGGGTGTGGCTTTTTCTTAAGTTGAGCAAGCCGGTGACCCGGCATTTGTACTGCGCTGTTAGGTTTGCTAACAGCATTAAGGTTATTTGATTTTTCGACTCTCTCACAGTGTTATCCGAGGACAGTAAAACTGTCCTCGGAAAATTTCTTCCAGTTTCAACAGCTATGCGATGAACCCGCTCTAGCGTCAGTGAAAGCATTTCGCAAATTGCCGACCCGTCGTGCATTGTTGACTCGTCGAGGATGTAGAGGTCCAAGCACCATCCTTAGTTTCAGTTGTGATGTGCTACGTGTAATTTGAAATGTGTTGCAGGTACTGAACCTTTTCCATGGTGACCTGGGTGAAAACTCAAAAGTGGTTTGAAGCTGGGACAAGTTAAGAACCAGAGGCTCCCTGGGCCCAAACTCCATGAACTTTCAACGCTGGCCGGACCAAGTTGGCCCTTAGTCTTTTTGAATCATGCCTTCCAAACAACAATAACCCCCTATTATACCATATCGCGGGCAAATGATCAAAACATATCTTTGAAGCTTTCGGGGAAACATGGAGGACACAGTGCGAAGTCCAGCACATCGCGGCAACCTAAACTTGGCCTGATCAAGGCCGTCCACCAAAACAGTTAGAGTACCGCTTTGATGATCTTCAGATAACTCGTTCAGTCCCCATTGTATACATCTGTCGACGTATTGCGAGTGAAGGTGTGCACGGTAGCTCTTGATGTCGGCCAGCTTTTGTTCTAGGGATCGGGAACGATCACTTAGTGCTCTTGTCAGCTGGTGACAAACTTCACACCGCCCAAACCTAGATTTCGATCATCATGTGTTTCAAAAAATGCTTTATTGAACCCAAACCCAAGGTGCTAAGATGTTTGTGGAATTTGTTGGTAAAATATGGGTATGCGTCGCACCAGGAGACAAGGTCTTGCTCCTAAATTTCAGGACATCACTCCACTTCTCTTTGAAAACTCTTGCGAAGG